TATTTTGGATAAGGCATTCAGGAATGACCTTATTTTGAACAGACACCTGAACAATATAAAGAAGCTTATCCATGCAAAACTGGGAGGTGGGGGTATTTGTCGGGGAGGAGGAACATTACAGGAGGAAGAACAAGTAGGAAGGCTCTTAGGTAGATGCATATCTGTTCTCAAGAAACAGCAAGGAGGCCAGGAGCGTGCTGAGTGCAGCAGCAAGAGGGTGAGGATGTGGGATGCCAGGGTCCAGACTGTTCAGGCTTGTGGACCACAGTGAAGACTAGGCTTATTATTAATGACAGAAAAACACCAGAGGCAGGAGCAACATGATTTGTTGCACATTTTAAAAGGTTCACCTCTGCTGCTGAATGGAGAATAAACTGAGGCAGCAAGAGAAGGAAGGAGAGTTATTAGGAGGCTACTACAGTAGTCCAGGCAAGAGTGATGGCTTAGGTTAGTACAGGTGGTGAAAAGTGGTTTCAACATGTATCAAATCATTACGGTGTATACTTGAAATATCTCACAACTTTATGTCAATTATACCTCAAAAAAGTGGATTCAAAATATACTCTCAGATTAGTCAAAAGAACTGGCTAATGAATCAGAGGTGGACTGTGGTGAAGGGAGGAGTCAAGGATGACCCTCAGGATTCTGGTCTGAGCAAAGGAGTGAGTGGACGAGCAAGCCACTCGAAGAGCTGGGGAAGCCCCAAAGAAGACTGGGCAGGGAAATGAGAGCTCAGTTCATTGTAAATTTGAGGTGCCTAATAATGTCGGTGCGTATACAAGTCTGGAATTCAGTAAAATGGTCAGGCTGGAAGTATAAGTTGAGAGCCATAAGAGATGTTTGATGTCACGCAAACAGATGACTCACTAGTCCAGGACTGAGCCCTGGGGCACTCTTAACATTTAAATACTTGAAAATAGAAGATTTGGCATAATTTATGCCCATTGAAGCAGCAACCTGATAGAGGAAGACAAGGATGTCCCTTCCGTCTTTGTTATTCTTATGGAATCAGACAATCTGATGGACAAAAGAACCTTCAAAACAAGACTTCTCTTAGGATCAGAGGTGTCTTATCTCGGGATTTTCAGACTTCCTCCTCTATTTCTTTCCCTCTACCTGATGGAGCACAAACCTATTAACCTACCAGATATTCTCAGATTACTTCTTTACACAATATGCTGCTTTGAGATCTCAAGTCAAATCTCTATTAACACCACACTAAGATGACAATCCAAAGACCTGTAATTTAGTTTGGGTTATATTATTTTATCCCAGAACTTTTAGCTTCCCTATTCAAACAATTGGGTGTGCCCATAAATGGTCAGAAACGGTCCTGGTCCTAGATAATTTACAGATACACAAGTATTTTGGTGAGTGGGGGTATCGGAGTCTATTTAGCTCAGTTAGCAAAAAGTCCAAGCAAAACAATCTGACTGCCCAAGGCAGTGACACCTGTGCAATGGGTACTACAAGTTATGCAGCTAATACAGCACATTCAAATATTTAAGCACTCAGGCCATCAGGTAGTATAAATACCAACAATTTCTGCCTTCATGGCCTGAAAAGCCTCAGCTTTCTCATCTGGGAAATGGAAATAATAATACCTGCTCTATTTCATAGGGATGAAATGAACCAAGGTGCTCTGTACACTGTATTATGCAATGCAGTCATATGACTATTATTTCCTTTATAGGGAATAAGCTGCCAAAAGGCTTTTAAATAACTATAATAAGCGGGCAAATTTCAGATACAATGAAGGATTTAAAAATCCAGCTAAAGACACATAAAATCATATACATACAAGGATAATGCTTATACAATTTTTTTTAAATGGTAAAAGATTAGAAACAACTTGAATGTCCATCAGTGGGGCATTATTTAAAATGAGTTATAGTCTACCCTACAATGTACTATAACTGCTGCCCTTAAAAAAAGAAGCAGGGCCTCCAGTACAGTCCCCTACCGGGAATCAAACCTGCAACCTTTTGGTGCACAGGACAACGCTCCAACAAACTGACTCACCCGGCCTGGGGCAGAGCCATCTTTTAAATTGAGGCTGACCCTCAAGTTCATGCTTGAAACTACCTCAAATTTCTGGTAACAGCCCAGTCAGCATTGGACTTTTGTATTTATTAGGAATGTTTTCTATTTAGCTGAAATCTGCTCCCTCTTCTAGGGTGATGAGCTGAGTTTAGGATCTTTAAACCGTTGTACTATTACACCTTTCTCAGTTTTGAAGAATGTATACCATCTACTGAGCTACTCGAAAGCCTGAGCCATCAGAATACTTAGCAGTAGACCCTGGAGCTTGTGTTTTTCTGGTTTACTGAATATTTAGCTCTAGTCCTTTCTGCTCCTGTTGGAAAATCTGAGAAAATGCATTTATTTAATTTCCTGCTTTTGTAACTGCAGTACATGAAACACATTTGAATTTTGGTTCGCAAGTGAAAACGTCCAGGCTCAGTGTCGGCTTTCTGAACATTGTTTTCTGAGGTAGCTAGAGCAGGACCAAGTGCCTGAGCTAAATACGGAGTCCCCAGGAACTGAGTTTGTTGACAAAGTTTGATGGTTTTAGTGTAACTTTCTCTTTTATTCTGATAAAATTAAAGGCAGCTCCTCTTTACAAAAAAAAAAAGAAGGGGCAGAACTTCCAGTCAAGATGGTGGAGTAGGTAAACCCTGTGCTCACCCCTCCTCCCAGGGCCACATCAAAATGACAACAAAATATAGAACAACCATCATTGAGAACCACATGAAAACTAGCTGAATAGAGTCCTATAACTAAGGATATACAGCAGAAGAAGCCAAATTGAAACTGTGAATTGCACTAATATTTCTCTTTGACTTTTTGGAATAAACCATACTTGATGATTAAAAAAAAAAAGAGGCAATATTACATGTTCAAGTAAGAAACAATCTTAAGGTTTACAAATAAGTGAAAAAAAAGGCTAGTTACACAATAGTTTGCAAAGTTTGCTTATATTTGAATAAAATATGTTTGTGTATATATGGAATATCTCTGAAAAGATACACAATTAGGTCATCACTGTATATCCTTTGTGCTGTCCGAATTGTGTTCCATGTGTTTGTATTAGTTACTAAAAAAACAAACAACCCAAACTTAAAATCTAACCACAGAGCCTCAAATATCAGAGATGTGAAACAGGATGGGTAATAGTTATTATCTTCAATATAAAAAGAGCTTCCTTCAAATAAGAAAAAGAAAAACTTTCCAAAACACAAATGGATCCAAGATTTGGAATTAGCACTTTACAAAAGAAATATATATGGCTAACATGTGTTTTTAAAAATGTTCTTCCTCTTCAGAAATTAAATAAATTAAAAGCAAATGCCAATATTTTACTTATCAGATTGAAAACTAATTATTACACCCAATATTGGTGCATGTGTATGAAATGGGAATGCTCATACTTTACTGGTCAGAGTTGGTTGTTGTTACCTTTCTAGCCATATATATGTATCAAAAGCCTTAAAACATGCACACACACACACTTTATCTCACATCTAAGAACTGAACCTGAGGAAACAATGCAACAAGTACAAAAAGATACATGTGATAGGGATACTACTCACAGCAAATCATGAGAGGGAAGCCAATGTTCACCAAGTAAATGATTAGTTAATAATAAATTATGGTACAACCAAGTACCTACTAAAAGCTAAGTTTCCAAAGAATATGTAAGAATATTAAAAAAAGATTCACAGGACATGGGAGAAAAAAAGATTAGCCAAAGAGAACAGCATACACATTCTGATCTCATGGGTGGAAGAAATACACACCAGGAGGAACCTGGAAAGATATATATCAAAATATTAACATTGATTGTTTCTGGGTGTAAATTACAGTTGATTTTAGCTTTTCTCTTACTTTCTCCCAAGTTTTTAATAAGTTTTTTTTTAATGGGGGGGAAAATAATAAATGGTATTGAGGAAAACCCTTAGAAGATATAAAAATCCAGTTATACTTTTTCATACTTCTCATTTTTAAATTGCTAAGAATCATGTTATCTAAATCTACATATGAAAAAAGAAAATGCGTAGGGAGATACTTTTATATAGTAATAAAACATCTATCCAATACAGAGGGGTAGAAATACTGCTTTATTTGAGAAACTTACATCCAAATTACTAATATGTGTTTTAAAAAGTCCTAATGAGCATCCAGGAAGAAAACATACAGCTTCCACAGGAATAAAGACAAAAAAATGGGGCTGATGATAGCCCCAAATGATATTTCCTAAAAGAAAAAAATGTAATATTTAACATTTCTTCTTTTGAGGCAGGGTAAGTGAACTGCACACATCATAGGTAAAATTTTCTTACTTTAAGAGGAAGAAGGACTGTGATCCTGTCCTGCTTTGATGCATATAATATACACAATACAAAATCCACTCTTCGGATCAAGATGAGGAGAAAAAACTCATTTTTCAACATTTCATTTCTCACGCAATGAAATCCAAAGGTCTGTTGAATCCACCTTTTCGATTCATGTACTGCCTATGATAAAGAAGAAAAATATTGAACAGTCATTAAAAAAATTAATTCTGGATTCTTCTTATGAAAATATAATCATAGCCCTGGCCAGGTAGCTCAGTTAGTTAGAACGTCTTCCCAATACACCAAGGTAGAGGGTTTGATCCCCGGTCAGGGCACATACAAGAATCAACCAATTGCACGGCTGGCGTGGCTCAGTGGTTGAGTATCAGCTTATGATACAGGAGTCTGAAGTTCATTTCCCCGTCAGGGCACATGCCCAGGTTGTGAGCTCAATCCCCAGTGGGGGGCGTACAGTAGGCAGCCCATCAATGACTCTCTCTCATCATTGATGTTTCTCTCTCTCTCTCTCTTTTTCTCTGAAATCAATATATTAAAAAAAAAAAAAAAAAAATCAATCAATGGCCCTAGCCAGTTTGGCTAGGTGGTTAGAACGTCAGCCTGAGGACTGACCAGGCAACCAATCAATGAATCTCTTTCATATCAATGTTTCTCTCTCTGTCTCTGTCTCCCTCCCTCCTTCTCTTCCACACTCTCTGAAAAGCAATGGAAAAAATATCCTTGGGAGCGGATTAAAAAAAAAAAAGAACGAACCAACGAATACATAAATAAGTGGAACAAAAATCAATGTTTCTCTCTCTCCCTTCCTCTCTCTCTTAAAAAAAACAAAATCACATGCTTCAGAAATTAAACCTATAAATCACATTTAAGATGGCAAAGTCTAGGGTAAGAAGTATTCAAGATTATTTAATGTACAGTAAGAAAAGATTACTTCACTTCCAAAATAAGCCAAAGCATTTTCAACTTCTATAAAACCCAAATAGAAGTATGGAAATATACTTTCAAAATTATATGGGAAGATTCCACAGACTTTTTAAAAAATCATTTGAAGGTAGGTATTTATTTTAGGTAACACTAAACACCTAGTTTAAGGGAATAGAGGAGAATTCCAAAATAGGTACCCATCAAGTAAATCTGATCGCGTACTGTACCAGTTTTCTCCATAAAACTTTATTTGAAGGTAACTTTACAAAGGAATGTCAACCATGATTCTGGTTCCTTAACTCACAAGCGTTCTCAAATCACATTTGCATATTCTAAATTAATTGGAATGTCTGTCTTTAATCGGTGATAAAGGTAGAGAGAAAGGCAATGTTTGAAGATGTCTTCTTGACTTTTCCATTCAGCAGGAAATCAGTGAGATTTCAAGTATGAATTGATTTGTCCTATGGTATTAATAAAATGTCTATACTTAACAGAAGACTATATTTACAGTTGAAGTCCTTACATAATCAATCTAGGTGAGTAATTCAGGAAAGATTTATTTTAAATCTGTAATTATAATAAAATTAAAGTCTAAAGACTTTTAAAAAATGATGTTTTGAAGAAAGGTCTAGTCCTAAAACATATAAGCCAACTATTCTTCTCTATAATAGTTATTAGTTTACATGTAAATTGAAAATTAACACACCAGAATATAAGCAAGAAAGATTAAAACAGGGAGTGTATGGAAAACTGCTACACTTTCTACAAACACAATTATCCCATAATAAATTCTTTCCCAAGCACATTTTTATCATTAGTTCAAACATAATAATGGGGTTATGCATACCTGTACTTCCTCTTCTGAGACACATTTATGGCATAGGCATTTACAGAGCCATCCAACTTTTTCCCCTGGAGAAAATCAGTAAATATAGAAAACAGGAAGGATACATTAAATGCCTTAATCAAAAGAACTGAATCCTATAGACAGACTTAAATTGGCAAGATCCATCTAAGAATGAGGTAGCCCAATGACAGAATTTTCAGATCCTGATGACATCCCATGAACTCTCAAGTATTACCAACTCTGTTTTGCTTTTTTAGAATAACACACAAATAATATAATAGTCAAACCAACAGACATTCATGGTTTATGTATTATGTGCAAGGCATATAGGGAAATAGGGTAGCAGATCCTAACCTTTTTTGGTCAAAGCATTCTTTGAAACCACATATAAGTTAAGGATATTTTATCTAGAAAAATTCACATCCTCAAATCATGGGTAGATCAGTCAACATTCATATAAGTCCCACTTGTTACACAGGCCTTGCATTTTGGATTTTTAAATCAGGAATCAGAATACAGAATAACTGGTGCTAATGTTGAGTGTCACATGTATCTTGGCCTTTTCTCTTTTTCATGAATTCTTTTACAGGTCTTTTCATTCAGCCAAGTTATCTCACCACTTGCTGTTCCTCATGCCTGAATTACATCCCAACTCCCATTCAATGTTCAACTATCTGGTTCTTTTTTTTTAAAAAAAAACACATACATATCTTTATTGATTTCAGAGAGAGGAAAGGAGGGGGAGAGAGAGAGATAGAAACATCAATGATGAGAGTGTCATTGATTGGCTGCCTAGCCCCGCAACCTGGGCATGTGCCCTGACTAGGAATTGAACCCCAATTTCCTGGGTCCTAGGTCGATGCTCAACTGCTGAGCCACGCCCGGCCGGGCTCCGGTTCTTATATATTGTTCAAGGCCCAATTCCAATAATCTAGCTGGCAGGAAGTGCCCTCTTCTCTAACTCCCACAGAATGTTAACTGGGCTTTCCTCACAATACCCTCCATGTTCCAATCTGTATTATCATGATGTACATACTTGATGCTATGTCCCGTATGAGACTGCAAGCTTCTTGATGGAGGGATATGACTGTGAGTCACCTTTGCATACTCACATCCTAGGCCACTGACTGCACTTGCAGGTGCTCAGAAAATAATTGTTAAATGTATGAAAATCATCGGTTAATGCTCATTTTCTCCCCACCCCACACGCATGCACACACACATGGCCCTCAACCCCCACCTTCCTGCATTATTACTCACAGGAGCATACCCTATCTGTGTAGCATACTTATTAGACATCCGTGCTAGGGCAAAAAAAAGATTCTTACTCATTGGCCTAAAGGCATGTACAGATTAGGTACATATTTGAAGTGGAGGTAAAATAAATATATTTGGGCTTACTTTTCTTTTCCTATTTTCGCTACATTTGGGGGGGAGGGAAGAATACTGGATAAATTACTTGAGGTATATGATTTTGACCTCTCAAGAATAGGAGATAGGCATGACTTGGAAAGACTGGCTTGGAAAAAAAAGGAAATAATTCTAAGTTTATAAAGGCTTAATGATTTTTGAAAACTACTTGCAGAGTTGTATATTAATAGCCCTATTTTCATTTACATGCTGGAATAGAAAATTATCCATTAATAAACATAACCAAACTTCGAATATTTCTAGAATGTTAAAATGGAAGGGAAAATAAGTGACTACATTGGCATATGAAAAGGTCCCATCATAGATCAATAATATACCACAAATACACATTACTGAAAAACACAAGTGAGCTTATAACTGATAGTCATATGAAGCTTACTGCATACAAACTACATTAACATCCTTGCAGATGTCATTAATTGCAACACTGGGCAACAGTAATCCCCTTGCCCCCAAAAGGGAAAATAATTCTGGTAAGTTCTTTCTCTAGTCTTCTAAAAAATAAATAAATAAATGTATAGTTGCTTTACTTTGGAGATATTTTTATTCACCCCACATATACATTAATAAATCATTTCACTTACAAAATACTCTGGAATGCAAATATTTCAGAAAAAAAAGCTGATACATAAACTATATTAAATTCCAAAATGGAGTTCACTTAACTATTTGTAGGAATAAGAGCTCATTCTTAATTTTTTCACTTCAAAACATTCATGCCTCAGTACTCCTCTTACTTTATGCAATATCATTTTAATTAATTAATTTATTTATTTAAGAATAGTTTATTGATTTTTAGAGAGAAAGAGGAAGGAAGAGAGAGAGAGAAACACTGATATGAGAGCGTATGCCTCCTGCATGCACCTCTACTGGGGAACAAGCCCACAACTCGGGCATGTGCCCTGACCAGGAAATGAACCAGCAAACTCTTGGTGCACAAGACACTACCTAACCAACTGAGCCACATCAAGCAGGGCATATACAATGCTGTTTTAAAAGAACATGTGAGTCCTAGCGGGTTTGGCTCAGTGGTTAGAGTGTCGGCCCTTAGAAGAGTCTCAGGTTCGATTCCGGTCAAGGGCACGTACCTCAGTTGCAGGCTTGGTCAGGGCACGTGCGGGAGAGAACCAATTGATGTGTCTCTCTCACATCGATGTTTCTCTCTCTTTCGTTTCCACTCTCTCTGAAAAGCAGTGGAAAAAATATCCCTGGGTGAAGATTAAAGGAACACATAAACCCTATACAATCATATCAGTTAGAAACGCTTATAGCATGTGAAATTACCCCACTCCATTAACAACTCAATGGAATACAAGCTTAGGGGAAGTGGATTATTTTCCCCAAAAATATCAATTTCCATTTATGAAACTAAAAGAAAGTTTTAAAAATACATTCCCTCTCCACACACATTTTCCCTGTCTATCCTACTAGCTCCCTGCAATCCCTCTACCCCCTGTCCATTTCCTCTCTCAAATTCCCCTTTCCCCTATTTCTCTCTTTACCCAATTCCTTCCCTCCCTCCCTNCTCTCCACACACTTTCCTTTCCTGTCCTTACTTGCTCCCTACAATCCCCCATCCCCTGTCCATTTCTCCTCTTGAACTCCCCTTTCCCCTATTTCTTTCTTTACCCAATTCCCCCCCCTTCCTATAATCCCTGACTTTAGCTCCGTCTCCACAAACCCTCCCTTTTTCCTCTCCCATTTCATTATTCTTTCCAGTATTGTGATGCCTAGACAGCATTCAATCTCCAATCCACCCCTCTCTGAGCTATGAGACATGTATGCAGCTACCCAATGTCATCTTCATCTGGCAGCTCAATTTCCTTCTTCTGTTTCACAACACTTCCCCTTCTCATAATCCTTTCTTGGTTAACCCTACCACCTAGTCTTTCAGCCTGTCACCTCAGGGTCATCACTGACTGCTCACTCCCACTGCCAACACCACTAACTCTGGCTCCTGAATGGTTCCCAATATTCTGGCCCCTCCTCTCAGTTCAGGCCTTCATCATCTTTCACTTGCACAACTCAGCAGTTCTCCTTGCCTCCAATCTAACCTGCCTCCCATCTGTGCTCCAATGCTGCCCTGGGTCATCTTTCTAAAACACACAAAAAATCCTATCACTCCTTTTCTTACACCTTGCTGACCAGCTATTTTGAGCCAGAACTTGCTCCTGTGGCTGGCTACTTTTCCCCACTAGAATACTCATGACTGGTCAGCAAGGTGTTTAAAATTATTTAAATTAATGTAAGTACAGACACAAGTCAACTTGAGACCAGTGAGCAAGGTGTTAAAAATCATAGCTTTCTCTTAACACCTAAAGAATCAACTCTAAATTCCTTTGTATGGCCAAGGGCAGCAAAAACCCTCTGTGATTTGCTTCCTACCTCTGTCTCCAGCCTCATTGTAGTCACTGGCCCATCAGCACCATTTTAACAGTCACTGAATTTGAAATTCCCACAATCCTTCATGCCTACATGGCATTTTCATGAGCTCCTCCTTCTACTTCAAATGATCTTCCTCCTCTTTGTACTGAGCCCTTTAAGATCTAACTCAACATCATCCCAGGCAAACACTCTCTGGATTCCAATGGTACCTCACTGCTTCCTTCTGTGCTCTCAAAGCCCTTAATACAGATAGTTATTGTCTTTTAACTGAATAAACTTGTACCAGTGGAGGAAATTACACAGGCAACAGTAAAAGAATACGGAAAAATGGGACAGCCACAATGGATTAGTTCAAATCAGAAGGCTTAACTGGCTTCCAGTTTTACTTACTTTTGTGGAGTCAAAGGCGGCAAATCCCATTACCTTCATCATTTCTATTTCTTCCTCTGTTTTGCCTTCTAAGTCTTCCTCTGCAAAAATAAGTGATAATTTTTAAAACACTATCATTTTAGATATATAAAAGGAAAGGTGGCAAGAGATTAACAGTCCTTCTACCTTACCAGCAGAGAACACATAAAACAATTAGCTAAAGAGTTGAGTTAATGAAAAAAAAAAATTTCTCTTAAATTTGGGCAGAATGTAACTTAAGAGGCAAGGGAGAAATGTGCTCTCCACTTTCTATCAGAGGAGACTGCTTAGCCCTGGATTGTGTGGCTCAGTTGGTTGGGCATCGTCCCAAGCACCAGAAGGTTGCCTGTTCGCTTCCTGGTCACGGTCATATGCCTGGGATGAGGGCTTCACAGGGGAGTTTTACCAAACATTCAAAGAAGAACTAATACCTATCATCCTCAAACTACTCCAAAAAATCCAAGAAGGAGGAACACTTTCAAGTTCTTTTTACCAGGCCAGCATTATCCTAATCCCAAAACCAGATAAAGACACTACAAAGAAAGAGAACTACAGGCCAATATCCTTGATAAACATAGATGCAAAAATCCTCAACAAAATATTAGCAAATCAGATTCAGCATTATATTAAAAACATCATACACCATAACCAAGTGGGATTTATTCTGGGGATGCAAGGCTGGTACAATATTTGCAAATCAATAAATGTGATACATCACATAAACAAACTGGAAGACAAACATGATGATATCAATAGAGGCAAAAAAACCCCGACAAAATCCAGCACCCATTTTTGATAAAAACTCTCAGCAAAGTGGAAATGGTGGGATCATACCTCAAAATAATAAAGGCCATATATGACAAACCTACAGCCATACTCAATGGGCAAAAACTAAAACATTCCCCCTAAGAACAGGAATGAGACATGGGTGTCCACCTTCATCACTCTTAGTCAACATAGCACTGGAAGTTTTAGCTACAGCGATTAGACAAGAAGAAAAAATTAAAGGCATCCAAACTGGAAAAGAGGAAGTAAAACTGTCATTATTTGCAGATGACATGATATTGTACATAGAAAACCCTAAGGACTCCACCAAAAAACTACCAGATTTAATAAATGAATTCAGCAAGGTAGCAGGATACAAAATCAACATCCAGAAATCGATGGCATTTTTGTTACACCAACAATGAACTCTCAGAATGAGAAACTGAAAAAATATACCATTTACCATTGCAACAAAAAAATTAAGATACTTAGGAATAAACTTAAACAATGAGATAAAAGACCTGTGCTCAGAACACTATAGGACGATGAAAAAAAGAGATAGAAAAGGACATAAACAGCAGAAGCGAGGCCGCGATGGCAGATGAGATCACCAAGGCTCAGGCCGCTCCGCCTGGTGGCGACAAAATCTTCAGGAAGATTATTCGCAAGGAAATCCCAGCCAAAATCATTTCTGAGGATGAGTAGTGTCTTGCTTTCCATGACATTTCCTCTCAAACACCAACACATTTTCTGGTGATACCTACGAAGCATATATCCCAGATTTCTGCAGCAGAAGACGATGATGAAAGTCTTCTTGGACATTTAATGATTGTTGGCAAGAAATGTGCTGCTGATCTGGGCCTGAAGAAGAGTTATCAAATGGTGGTGAATGAAGGCTCAGATGGGGGACTGTCTGTGTATCATGTTCATCTTCATGTTCTTAGAGGTCAGCAAATGAATTGGCCTCCTGGTTAAGCATGATTTAGGGATAATTTTCCCTACTCTAGGCAATGATCAGTTTTGCAAGTTCTAATGTGCTAAACAGTACACTTATTTTTGCCTGTGTATGGAGAAACTGAGGAAATAATTTCTAAGACCCATACATAATAAAAGCCATTGCTGCAAAAAAAAAAGAATATAAACAAGTGGAAGAATATACCATGTTCACGGATTGGTAGAATTAACATCACTAAAATGTCCATACTACCCAAAGTAATCTATAGATTCAATGCAATCCCTATTAAAATACCAATGGCATATTTCACAGATCTAGAACAAACACTACAAAAATTTATATGGAACCAAAAAAGACCCCGAATAGCTGCAGCAATCTTGAGAAAGAACAAGGTTGGAGAGATCACAATACCGGGTATCACGTTATACTACAAATCTGTAATCAAAACAGCTGGAACTGACACAAGAACAGGCATATAGATCAAAGGAACTGAACAGAGAACCTAGAAAATGACCCAAACCATTATGCTCAATTAATATTTGACAATGGAGGCAAGAGCATACAATGGAATAAAGACAGTCTCTTCAATAAATGGTGTAGGGAAAATTGGAGAGGTATATGCAAAAAAATGAAGCTAGACCACCAACTTACACCACACACAAGAATAAACTCAAAACAGATAAAAGACTTAAATATAAGTCACAAAACCATAAAAATCCTAGGAAAAAACATAGGCAGCAAAATATCAGACATCTCACCTAGCACAATTTTCATAGATACATCGCCTAGGGCAAGAAAACAAAAGAAAAAATAAACAAATGGCACTACATCAAACTAAAAAGCTTCTGTACTGCAAAGAAAATCAGCATCAAAATGAAAAGGGAACCCACTCTATGGGAGAACATATTTGCCAATGATACACCTGATAAGGGATTTTTTTTTAATCCTCAACTGAGGATACTTCTTCCATTGTTCTTCAGAGAGATTAGAAGGGGGAGAGAGAGTGAGAGAGAGAGAAACAGTGTTGAGAGAGACACACTGATTGGTTGCCTCCTGCATGCACCCTGACCGGCGCTGGGTATTGAGCCTGCAACTGAGGTACGTTCCTATGGCCTGAATCGAACCCAGGACCCTTTAGTACAAAGGCCGACATTCTAACCACTGAGCAAAACTGGCTAGGGCCGATAAAGAGTTAATTTCTAAAATATATAAAGTATTCATACAGCCCAGCAGGGCGTGGCTCAGTGGTTGAGCAGCGATCTAGGATCCAGGAGATCCAGGTTCGATTCCCAGTCAGTGCACATGTCTGGGTTGCAGCCTCGATCCCCGTTTGGGGGCCTGCAGGAGGCAGATCAGTGACAACTCTCTCATCACTGATGTTTCTCTCTCTCTCTCCTTCTTTCCTCTCTCTGAAATCAATAAAAAATATATTAAAATAAATAAACTACTCATACAATTCAACAAAAGGAAGACAAACAATCCAATTAAAAAATGGGCAAAAGAGTCCAGCCAGCATAGCTAAGTGGTTGAGCTGCAACTTTCAAACCAGGTCATGGTCACATTCGCAGTCAGGGCACATGCCTGGGTTTCTGGCTCGATCCCCAGTAGGGAGTGTGCAGGAGGCAGCTGATCAATGACTCTCGTCATTGATATTTCTATCTCCCTCTCCCTCTCCCTCTGAAATCAATAAAGACATATTAAAAAAAAAAAAAAATCAACCTCGAGACATTGACATACTGTTATCTAATAACATTACCAGTAACAGACTGACATATTTC